AAAAGTAAACAGTGCAATGTATTTTTACACCCCTACACACCAGAAAGCAGAGCATAACACACACTTACTGGTGTGAATGGGACCTAAAGCTAATAGTATACTCAGAGATTTCTTTATTTTGGTGTAGGCAGAATAAAAGAAATCTAACATATTCCTCCATCCATGATAAACAGAATAGCTAGACTAGTCCATAGTTGTATACCCATCCTGAATACCCAAACAGGGACTGCAACTGATTGAATGCTGTCACTGCTCAGCCAACAATTTTCTTCCCGGCTCCATTGACTTTCAGATCAAAGTTTGTCAAGCTGGGTGGTGCTGATGACGCTGGATGGTGGTATGGTCAACTTAACTCAAACCTTCTTCTTAATCTTTATCACCCTCAGGCCTAATCAGCACTGAAATGAGATTCCCAACCTCCTCCCCCCTTCCTGGTTGGAGGAGCCTTCCGATTTTTTTTTTGCTTACCAGGCTGTACCTTTTATTGATCACAGTTACACATAACACAGGCTAGGCAGAAAGGTGGAACATTTAGTTATATTAGCAGAAAATGGCAGACATACAGTTACAAGAAAAAAGTATGTGAACCCCTTGAGATTACATGGAGGTTTGCATGAATTGGGCATAAAATGTGCTCTGAACGTCATCTAAGTCACAACAATAGAAGAACACAGTCTGCTGAACATAATACTACACAAACATTAGATGTTGCCATGGTTTAATTGCACATAACATGTAAACATTCACAGTGCAGGGAGGAAAAAGTATGTGAGGCCCTAGCTTAATGACTTCTCCCAGAGCCAATTGGAGCCAGGAGTGAGCCAACCTTGACTCCAATCAGTGTGATGATATTGGATGTGTTGCTGACAGCTGTCCTGCCCTTAAAAAACACACACCTGTTTTGGGTTTACTGGTTTCAAGAAGCACTGTCTAATGTGAACCATGCCTCGCAAAAAAAAGCTCTCAGAAGACCTACGATCAAGAATTGTTGACTTGCATGAAGCTGGAAAGGGTTACAAAAGTATCTCCAAAAGCCTTGAGGTTCATGTGTCCACGGTAAGATAGACTGTCTACAAATGGAGAAAGTTTAGCACTGTTGCTACTCTCCCTAGGCGTGGTCGTCCTGTAAAAATGACTGCAAGAACACAGCACAGAATGCTGCATGAGGTAAAGAAGAATCCCAGAGTGTCAGCTAAAGACCTACAGAAATCTCTGGCACATGCTAACATTTTTGTTGACACATCTACAATAAGGAAAACATTAAACAAGAATGGAGTACATGGGAGGACACCACGGAGGAAGCCATTGCTGTCCAAAAAGAATATTGCAGCACGTTTGAAGTTTGCAAAAGAGCACCTGGATGTTCCACAGCACTACTGGCAAAATATAATGTGAACAGATGAAACCAAGATTGAGTTGTTTGGGAAGAACACACAACACTATGTGTGGAGAAAAAAAGGCACAGCACACCAACATCAAAACCTCATCCCCACTGTAAATAATGGCGGAGGGAGCATCATGGTTTGGGGCTGCTTTGTTGCCTCAGGGCCTGGACGGATTGTTGTCATTGATGGGAAAATGAATTCCAGAGTTTATCAAGACATTTTGCAGGAAAACGTATGACCATCTGTCCGCCAACTGAAGCTCTGCAGAGGATGGGTGATGCAACAGGACAATGACCCAAAGCATACAAGTAATTCAACAAAACAATGGCTGCAACAGCACAGAATACGCCTTCTGGAGTGGCCCAGTCAGAGTCCTGACCTCAACCCGATTGAAATGCTGTGGCATGACCTTAAGAGAGCGATTCCCACCAGACATCCCAAGAATATATTGCTACACTGAAACAGTTTTGTGAAGAGGAGTGGTCCAAAATTACTCCAGATCATTGTGCAGGTCTGATCTGCAACTACAGGAAACGTTTGGTTGAGGTTATTGCTGCCAAAGGAGGGTTATTAAGTCCAAAGGTTCACATACTTTTTCCTCCCTGCACTGTGAATGTTTACATGTTATGTGCAATTAAACCATGGCAACATCTAATGTTTGTGTAGTATTATGTTCAGCAGACTGTGTTCTTCTATTGTTCTGACTTAGATGATGTTCAGAGCACATTTTATGCCCAATTCATGCAAAACTCCACATAATCCCAAGGGGTTCACATACTTTTTCTTGCAACTGTAGATTAAGGCTGCCAGAGCTGAGGCTATGTGACCCATCCCCACAGCTGGTCTGAAGGACCTCATCACATACTGTTAGACAAAATAACATTGCATATGGAATTATTATGCTGAATAGAGTGGAGGTGGTGATATTCTGCAGATTAGTTTTTTTCTCCATGACCTTTTTCATTATTTCAACCTTGCTTACCCACCCTACCCTAAGGCCATTTCCTCATATTAAAAGTTAAATTCACTCAAAATGTGTATTTGAATTTTGGATATATTCAAGTGGGTTGAAACAGCCACATTATGTGCAGATATATCAGTCAATGCATTTACATTTTTTGGCCAAATAAGTAGACAGCCAGCTATAGCTCTATAGCTGTGTTATCAGCTTTGCTGAGACCTGAGAAAGCTTTATAAAGTTGCCTGAAGCACAGTTCTCTGGTATTACTTAAAGGAATTACATTCAGTCAGGATAAACTCCTGAAAATGTCCATATTTTAGTGAATGCTATTAACTGCTCTTTATAAAAATCAATTGTTAGGCATTCAGCTCCAGAGTATGCTAATGGGCTGTATTTTATTTCAGACTTATGCAGTTACTGGGTCCACTATTCTGTCTTCCCCCATAATATACCATATACCACCTAAGCAATGCCCATTTTTTTGTACTACAGCCTTCTGGCTTTTAATCTTACCTTTAATTCATGACATTCATAGGCGACATTTAAATGTGTAGCTGAAGTTCTAGTACGATCCATTTAAAGCTGAACTCCAGGTATGATCTTAATTGTGTGCTTACACTGGTCCAGCTTGGAAGATCATGGCTATCACTGTAGAAATGCTGACTACTACATTGATTGTCAACTTCCCCAGTGGCCCCTCAGTTATGAGATATACATACATACATTAGTCCAAGCTGGACCAATGTGGGTATGCAATAAAGATCAAACCTGGAGTTCAGATTTAATATGTATAATGAATGAAATAACACTGGCAACAAAACAGTGAGGTTCACTACTATGGTCTATGGGTGAACCATACAGTGGGCTATTGTCTAGCCATAATAAAGGCAACAGTAGCTATGGCTTAGGAACTGAGATGCCATGTTGAGGCACTCTAATCATGTCTTCCATAGCCACCAATTTTGCACATACCTGTAGTCTACAGAGGTCTTTTAAAGCCCTAGCAGTACCATCGAGGACTTGTGTGGAATTTATGTGGCATATTTATTTATGAATGATAGGATTCTCCAAAAACTGAAGAAATCTGTAGGTGTATATGCAGACAAAGCAATACATTTGCTGATTCACCAGATTTGCAAATCGATTTGCTCATCACTAAAGGCAGACCTGATCGTTTAATACGTGTAACACACCTGCAGTTGTTTAGTACATAACCAACAGTACTTGTATTTTAATTTCTTGGTAGTGGCTGAATTACATTTAAATGAAATTAAATTTATGGATTTTACGTACTTTAAGGGGCAGAGTAGATAGTGCTGCATGGATAAAGACAAACATAACTGCTGTGACTTGGCTGTCACATTAGCAAAGACGACAAACTGTGTTTCTACTGTAAATGGTGTGTTAGTCAGAAAGCTACAAGGGAACAAATTCACACGGATGCATAAACACACTGAGAGATCAACTGATGGAATGATGAAAGAAATCTGAGGTTCATTTTGTTGTTTCTGTGACAAGGTGCAGGATCTGTACAGTAGGCATATGGTGGGCATAATCAGTGGTGTCTATGACCAAATATTTTTGTCAACAGGGTAGTGATGGTTGTACCAGTTGACAGTTTTTAAGAAAGACCTATAAAAGATGCATAAATTGCATTTTATTAATGGTAGCTGTATGGGAACTGGAACGTTTTAGTAAACATTTTTTTATAAAAACTCTATTCTTAGTTTTATGTATATATGCATACAGGAAGATGTGTGATCATGTAATGTAAGCTGCACCTCCTTTTTAAAATAGAACTCTTGTACTTTCCATCTTGAAGACTAGTTACAGATAGCTCAGACTGCAAATTTACTGGCAGAGATAAAAATGTCACTGCTCCAAACCTCTACAGCTTTAGCTATATGAAGAAGAAGGTAATGATCAAATCAGAAGAATAATAGTTTTATCTTTCTTTTTTTTTTTTGCCTAATATTTCCATGGCAATCGGTCTGACCTACAGTGAGTGACACAGTTTAATATTTAAAGCAGCCTAAAGTCACTTCAAAGATTTGCCAGTTTGCCTAGTTTTAAAACCAATCTTCTTATCAGTGCCCAATTACACATAATATATATTACATAATATTATAAACACATTGGGGTTGATTTACTGAAACTGCAGAGTGCAAAATCTGGTGCAGCTGTGCATGGTAGCCAAGCAGCTTCTAACTTCAGCTTGTTCAACTAAGCTTTGACAAAAAATCCTGGAAGCTGAATTCTATGTAGAGCTGCATCAGATTTTGCACTCTCTAGTTTTAGTAAATCAACCCAATTTTCTTTATCTTGTGAGAAATTTAAATTTACATTATATAGACATATAAGCAACATTTATTTTCATAGTCTAAAGTCGACTTCCCTGTTGTCTAAATATGACTTCAACAAGCTCTACGGCAGTGGTTCTCAACCTTTCTAATGCCGCGACCCCTTAATACAGTTCCTCATGTTGTGGTGACCCCCAACCATAAAATTATTTTCGTTGCTACTTCATAACTGTAATTTTGCAGTAGGAGGAATAGTGCTACGTCATTGGTGTCAGTGGGAGGAATAGTGCCCCATCATTGGTATCAGTGGGAGGAATAGTGCCCCGTCATTGGTATCAGTGGGAGGAGGAATAGTGCCCCGTCATAGGTGTCAGTGGGAGGAGGAATAGTGCCCCGTCATTGGTGTCAGTGGGGGGAGGAATAGTGCCCCGTCATAGGTGTCAGTGGGGGGAGGAATAGTGCCCCGTCATAGGTGTCAGTTGGGGGAATAGTGCCCCGTCATTGGTATCAGTGGTAGGAATAGTGCCCCGTCACATGTGTCAGTGGGAGGAATAGTGCCCCGTCATTGGTGTCAGTGGGAGGAATAGTGCCCCGTCATTGGTGTCAGTGGGAGGAATAGTGCCCCATCATTGGTATCAGTGGGAGGAATAGTGCCCCATCATAGGTGTCAGTGGGAGGAGGAAATAGTGCCCCATCATAGGTGTCAGTGGGGGGAATAGTGCCCCATCATTGGTGTCAGTGGGGGGAATAGTGCCCCATCATTGGTATCAGTGGGGGGAGGAATAGTGCCCCATCCTTGGTGTCAGTGGGGGGAGGAATAGTGCCCCATCCTTGGTGTCAGTGGGGGAGGAATAGTGCCCCATCATAGGTGTCAGTGGGGGGAATAGTGCCCCATCATTGGTGTCAGTGGGGGAAGGAATAGTGCCCCATCATTGGTGTCAGTGGGGGGAGGAATAGTGCCCCATCCTTGGTGTCAGTGGGGGGAGGAATAGTGCCCCATCCTTGGTGTCAGTGGGGGGAGGAATAGTGCCCCATCCTTGGTGTCAGTGGGGGGAGGAATTGTGCTCCATCCTTGGTGTCAGTGGGGGGAGGAATTGTGCCCCATCGTTGGTGTCAGTGGGGGGAGGAATTGTGCCCCATCGTTGGTGTCAGTGGGGGGAGGAATTGTGCCCCATCGTTGGTGTCAGTGGGGGGAGGAATCGTGCCCCATCCTTGGTGTCAGTGGGGGAGGAATAGTGCCTCATTGTTGGTGTCAGTGGGGGGAGGAATAGTGCCCCATCGTTGGTGTCATTTGGGGGATGAATCGTGCCTCATTGTTGGTGTCAGTGGGGGGAGGAATAGTGCCCCATCGTTGGTGTCAGTGGGAGGAATAGTGCCCCATCATTGGTGTCAGTGGGAGGAATAGTGCCCCATCATTGGTATTAGTGACACCAATGATGGGGCACTATTCCCACTGACACCAGTGATACTTACCTTGCAGACCCCTGCTCCAGCCTGGGCTCGCTCGCTCCCTCCCTCTCCCATTGTACCGACACTTACCTGTCAGCTGTCTTCCTTCTCCGGCCGCTCTCCTCCTCTTCACTCGCTCGATCTTCGCGGTGCCGCTCGGCCCCTCCTCTCCAAGCTCCACCTCCTTGCCGGTGATTGGCCGCCTGTGTGCCTCAGCTACAGTGCCGGCGGCCAATCACAGGCGAGGATTGATCTCGAGGTGTGTCCAGATGACAGGGGCGGCATGTCATCCCGCCCACACCTGCAGACGGCGGTGGCGGCGGCGAGGAGCGGTGTCTCGATTCCTAAGACCATCGGAAATATGTGTTTTCCGATGGTCTTAGGCGACTCCTGTGGAAGCGTCGTTCGACCCCCAAAGGGGTCGCGACCCCCAGGTTGAGAACCCCCTAGGTTTGACACTGCTGCTCACTACACTTGGTAACTTAACATCCCCTTTCTTAGTTACAAGTCTGAGTGATGACATTGATGATGAAAGTAGCTGATACTTAGCTGTGCCAGTATAGAGCACTGGGGTGGGAAAGGAAGGAAGCACAATTCTACTTAAAGTTCACATTTGTTCCTTCTCTAAAAAGTGATCAGAAGCAGCTGTCAGAAATCCAGAGGTTGATTCCGCTACATCCCGAAAGCCTTTCTTATTTTTTGGAGGGTTTTTTTGTCTGACAGGCAGTTTTTAATGGCTTGAATGGGTGAATTTGACAGGTGGTGCTGCCTTGAAAGTGGATGAGCCATATTAAATTTGTTGTGCGCATCATAGCCATGGCATGTGAACACCCAGTAGGTGGTCAGGGAGTGGTAAAACCATGGCTGGACAACCTGTTTTACCACCCCCAGCCTATCTTTTTAAGTTCTAGATAGAGCAGGGAAGGGTTAGGCTCTCTGTCAAGTTTTTTCTTGCTGTCTGTGTACTGGAGACTGTTATCCCTGAGAAAGAAGGTTAATCTGCAATTCTTTTTCTGGGGACAACTGTCCCCTAACTTTCCATTAAAGCATCTCTAGGATAGGTGAGAGGGAAGGGAAATTTCCCCAATGGCACACACCCAGCAGTACAAAATAAACTGGTATGGGTTTTTTATTCTTTATTTTAATTTATGTGATGCATACGATATTGTACAATATAGGTTGAAATGAAAAGAGACATTACAGGGACAATTTGAACAAAATCATTGGGTGATGATGGTTTTGGATATGCTAAATTATCATAATTATGATGTTATAGGGAAGCTAATACGTGATTGTTCAGGTCTCTAAATAATCATGGGCAGCACAGTGGCTAAATGGTTAGCACTTCTGCCTGGCAGTGCTAGGGTCTTTGGTTCAAATCCCAACCACAGCACCACCAGCCTGGAGTTTGCATGTTCTCCCTGTGCCTGTGTGGGTTTCCTTCCACACTCCAAAGACATGCTGCTAAGTTAATTGGATCCTGTCTAACATGTCCTTAGTATGTGTATGAATGATGTAAGTTAGGGACCTTAGATTGTACACCCCTTGAGGGTTAGGGACTGATGTGAATGTACAATATATATGTAAATAGTTGCATAAATTGACAGCGCTATATAAGTACCTGTAATAAATAAATAATCACATGCTGCTTTTTCCTTTCTTTTTCTGCAATGAGTGGCAGTGGATAGAAATGTGTGTGTGTGGGGGAGGGAGGTAGAAGGGGTTAAATCATAATAGGGTGTACGGGGAAAATTATCAATGTAAATTTCAGTTAAGCAGGGGAGGGGTATATGGAGCATGGCCCTGAAGACAGTATAGGATCAAGGGTGAAAAAAGAGAGTGGGAGGAAGGAAGGCACACCAGACATATAGAGCCATGATAGGAAAAGGAGAGGGGAGGGAGGAGAGGGTCTGTGGGAGGTTAAAATGAGAAAGAGCAGAAGAGAGGTAGGGGAGTATAAGATTTTAGTTAAATGATCTCTATCCAGTGGAACCAAGCAGTCTTGAAATTGTCATCTGTCCCTTTAAAAGAGCTAGTCAGGTCTTCCATTATCTTTATATCTTCTACACGTCTGAGCCATTGCTGTTTTGTAGGTGGGGAAATAGACTTCCACATTGTGGAGATACATGAGCATGCCACATTGACCAGATGTATTACAGATGAGTTTTTATATGTTTTAAATGGGATAATATTGTAGTGGAGGAGGAAGAAGAACTTTGGAATGGATCAGTCTGTGAACTTTTGGACAAGGGTATCCAGAATGTCTGTAGGGCTGGGCAGGACCAGAAGATTTACGAGGAGCATTCAAGTCAAACCGGAACTTTTGAGTATAATAAAAGAACACATTTCAAGTGGAAACTACATTTATATTTCATTAATAATAAAACATATAATGATGTAGCACAATCTCTAAAAAATTATGCAAGAACAGAAATAAAAATAAAAAACAAATAAACAAAAGTCCAATTTTCAGGAAATTTCAAGTGTCCATAAAATTCCACCACCTAAGTGCCGTGCTCTTAATCTTTGCTTATAATTTCAAAATTGCATCCAAGTGTCAAATGCTCCATCCTTTGTTCATCCCACATGCTCTCCTACTTCTATTAACCTAATAGTGTATCAAGGTCACAGTGCACTTTTGCCCCACCACAGACTTTTTGGCATCTGTTCTCTTTTCGGCTTATGGTTTCCACTGGCAGTATTCTACCCGTAAGATACCCACTTTCTAGTAAGCAAACATGCAAATACAAATGGGACCCAAACTAGAGTTCTCTGTTTAGCTCAAATGTATTCAATTAAAATACCTAATAGATATACACTCATATTTAAAACGCACCCAAAGTACTATGTTGACAGCTTAAACCAGCAAAACTAACGCTCAATATATCCACATCTCTATCATCATCCATCTCACCAGTGTAGCTCCTGCTCCTATGGAATTTTTATCGACACGTTTATTTTTATTATCATTATACAGGATTTATATAGCACCAAAAGGTTGCACAGCGCTTTACAATAAAAAAGGGAAACAGTACAGTTACAATACAATAAAAAACAAGAGGATTAAGAGGTTCCTGCTCATAAGAGCTTACAATCTAATAGGGTGGTGCAAGTGGTACAAAAGGTTATAACTGCGGGGGATGAGCTGATGGAAGTGATAAATGTTTAATTGGAGGTGTGATAGGCTTCCCAAAAGAGATGAGTTTTCAGGGATTGCCTAAAGACTGCCAGAGTAGGGGATAGCCAGACAGATTGAGGCAGAGAGTTCCAGAGGATAGAAGAGGCTCTGGAAAAGTCCTGGAGACAAGCATGGGAGGAGACAATTGAGCCTGAGAGCAGGAGATCCTGAGAGGAGCGGAGAAAATGGTTTGGGCAATATTTGCAGACAAGATTGGTGATGTAGCTCAGAGATGTTAATAGCTTTGTGTGTTGTTAGTATTTTAATTTAATCAACTGGACAATTGGAACCCAGTTGAGGGATTGGCAGAGAGGGGCAGTGGACAATGAGTGGTTGATAAGGTAGTTAAGACTGGCAGCAGCATTCATGATAGACTGAAAAGAGGATAGCCTATGGAGAGGAAGGCCTATGAGAAAGGAGGTGCAATAGTCAAAGCGAGAGATAGCAAGGGAGTGAATGGGTAGCTTGGTGGTTTTCATTAGTTAGGTAGGGGTGAATTTTAGATATGTTACAGAGGTGAAATCAACAAACGTTTGACAGCAATTGGATCTGGGGCCGAAAGGATAGGTCAGAGTCCAGGATTACAACTAGTACCCTTGCTTGAGGGGAGTGACTGATAGTTGCATTATTGATGGAAAAGACATGGAGGAGGGCACAGGGGAGGGGGGGGTGGATATTATCAGCTCGGTTTTTAGAGAGGCTTAGTTTAAGGAAGTGGTGTAACATCCTTGCTGTTATGTCAGTTAGTTCATTGGTAATGGGCGAGGACACTTGACATTTTCTGAAATTGGACTTTTGTTTATTTGTTTTTTATTTATATTTCTGTTCTTGCATAATTGTTTAGAGATCGCACTAGATCATTATATGTTTATTATTGATGTTTATACAGGTGGGATGAGAAGCACGTGATGTGTTAGTAGCAATAAATATTGTGACACAAAATTATTTAACTGCGCCAACTGAATGTTTGTATGCACTTATTTTTTACATACTCCCCTACTACATTTATACACTTATCCCAGCATTTAACTAATGCCTGGAAAGCTTCAGCATAGAAAGATTTGTCAGTATGCCTGAACCAGCCTAGAACAGCCCGCTTCACTTCATCATCAGTGCAGAAATGC